TGATGTATCTTGCAGGAAGGATCAGAAACATGGTTTTCAATTATAACAGCAAAATTACAAAGGGTTTTGTAGTTCAGATGTTTAATTTCCTGCATGCTTTGTGCTGTATAAGGGACACTGCAGTGAGTGCCTCGCTGAAGAGCTGCCATCTGGCTGGTGAGATAGGCCTTGCCGTGGTGGCTGCGGGTAATTCAACCACTTTCTCTCTTCCTCTCCGATAACTTGCGTTTTTCTGCATCGCTTAAAATAGCTCCAGACTCACTGCACCTTTGCTTAACGCATTCAGCCATCGTTTCGCTTTTGAACTGCAACCAACGTGACACCCCTTCATGCTCTGCCTTTTGAGTTTGTTGCCGTTTACGACGTCTTGAAGGCTGTAGCAGAGCCTGACCCTCTCCAAAGATCACTTAACTAAAAGCCTCATAAAGCCCAGCGGGAATTAGCTGGCTGAAGAGGACCAGGCTGTGTGTGCACAGCTCCACGTCTCTGGAGGCGAGGACCAACACCTCCTCATCTCCTCCCTGGAGCTCCGGCTTGGCCATCAGCAGGCGCGGTGTGCTGGTGAGGAGGTGGTGCCGTCGTAGTCTTTTCTGCTCACAGTAGTCATCTTCTGTGCTTTAATCAACATATCCAGTCTTGAAAGTCATTGAGTGGTGTGTAATAGGACTTGAGAGACTTATGGATGTTTTTACCAGTACGAGTGGAAGAATGGGATTACCGGTGAGGTTTACCTGTTCTTACATTAACAATTTGTCATAAACAGTTTCTCAGCCTGGGGTGGGACTGTGCAGTTTTTATTGGCAAGAGGTTTCCTTTCCTGTGTCTTTTTTCTTTTCTTTTTTTTTTTTTTTTTAAAAAGACAGACCTCCAAGTTAGCTGCTGTTTCAGAGGATTTTTTTAATATTGCTTATCTGATTGTGATTAAGCAATCCGCTGTTTATACCATATGCTTTAACCCTGATGTTAGTTCAGCTGGGCAAGGATATAAATGATGAAAAAATTCCTTAGCAAGCTTACCCTGTTGTATTTTAAATTAACTCTTTGATATGCTATTCTAAAATAGGAGCTTTTAAAGAAAGATACAAGTTTAGCTGCTCTGGTTAAATTTAAAGGCTGTTGAAGTTTGGGTTTTTCCTTTTTTTAGGAGCAAACTACATCTACTTGTTTCTATGAACTGCGGTCCAGAGTTTAGTACTGTGATATTTACTAAATAGATCAGGTGTACAGAATGAAATGAACATAGTAAAACAAAACTGAAGTATGGGAACTTCAGGCCTTGGTCTGTAAATCATAGACAAAGTACTATGAAAGGTATGGATCCAATACAGTTTTGGTAAAAGCTGGTTTGCTCTGAGATTCATAAATGATACAAGACTGTAATTAGTGGTATATTTTTCTGGATTTCCTTGTTTTGTTTTGTTTTCTCAATAAATCTCAGGGCATAGCAGCCTTGGTGCTACCTGTACAAGCAGAAAAGCCTCCAAACACAGCTGCACCTAAAACATTGATCTTTTAGCCAAAGATTTGCTCTGTATGTTTTCAACCACACAAATTATCCTTAAAAAAGGAGGGCTTCTGTCTAAAAGAAAGAAGATTACCAGCACAAGATGCTGCTGTCACGGTGGGCTGAGTGACACAGTATGTTCCCAAGTTATAATTTTATGTTGCAGTAATTTTGCTGATCAAACAGCAAAGTTTACGACAACTCACTGTCAGCATGAAAAAACGTCAAACTAAAAAAAACACCCTTAGTTTCTAACAAGGAGCAGTTAGGTGTTGTGTGCAGAACTGCCGAGTCAAAGAGTTTTTTAAATATTCTGTAGCTCAAGGACTTGGCGCCTCTTCAAACATTTCCCAACTACAAAAGGATGGGTAATCTTGCAAGTGAATGGGCCCCCTCTAGGGGCAAAAATGTGGAAATTTGTTATAGCAGGTAAATTCAAAACGGGAGAAGCGTTTGCTTGGAGTGTGAAAATCTGGGCGTTTTTGACCACAGTGAGAAGGGATTTCTGCTGTGATTTAGGATGCAGCTTCCTCTGCATTTCGGTTTCCTGGCTTGCTGCAAGAGGTGACGTGCTGTATGCAGCAGGGCTCTGCTTTCAGCCTTCTCTTACTTTAACTCTTAAAACGTTATGAAAAATGTGCTGCCATTTTTCCAGGGTAGTTCTCAAAATACCTTTATAAAGCATGTCTCATACCGTGAAGAAGTCAGCTTGTATTTGTTAGTTCAGTGTTGCAGGTCTTGAGCTGTTCTGTGCGCGTTGTACCATTTTGGTAAGAATTTTTTTTATGCCGTAGGCAAGGCAACACACTGCTGCCCAGCCGTCTGTAACACGGACACCCAGACTATCCCGAGGAACCTCTCAGGAGTCCGGGGAAATCCCTCCTGAAACTTCAGGGCTTTTGAATATGGGAGTTACAGACACTGTGCAAATGTAAAGTATGTGCTGGGTGTCGTTGCTGTGGCGGTGACACCGCGCTCCATACGGAGCCGCAGAGTTGTCTGACTTGGGTGGGGGTGTGTGTTTGTTCTGGCAGTGCTCACTAAAACATGAGTCCTATATGAAACCATTTCAGCAATTTTTGAATTGATGTTTGAGAAGTTACAAAATCTTTCTTTCACAGTGGTCTTTTGCTTTTGGTCTTTGCCATTTCACCTTTTCAGAGCTTGGGTTCAGGATCGTGTAATTCATCCAAGTAGCATTTTCTGGGTGTACGCGTGCCCAGAACCTCAGGCCGTGCTGCTGGCGAAATTCTCCTCTTTTAAACGACACACGGGGAGAACATCGTCCTCCTTCATCTCTTCCTTCCTGTTGCTTTTGAAGTTTATCCTGGTTTATCTGGAGGGAGGGGTGCGTTTGACTTTTAGGGGGTGCTTTTAAGTCAACCCCAAGTTTCCATATGAAAACAAGGTGAAGCAATTTTTAATGAAAACTTCAGGTTTTTTGTATCAATCCTTTAAAACCTGAATTCAGACCTCATTGTTCAGATGGTTTAACAGCAGGGTCAGCGCTTCTGAGCGTGACCGCTTCAATGTCAAATGTGAAACGCATTCACATTCATTTTTTTCCCTTTTATCTCCTAAAGGTGCTCTTACAGAGTGTTACGATGAACTGGGCAACCGGTACCAGCTTCCCGTCTACTGCCTCGCCCCACCTATCAACATGATAGAGGAGAAGGGCGACCTGGAGACTCTGGATATTCCTGATCCCCCACCCAATTCAGGGCACGAATGCCAGCTTCGTTTGCGCCTGTCCACAGGCAAAGACCTCAAACTCATGGTCCGCAGCATGGACACGGTGTACCACATGAAGAGGCGGCTGCACGCGGTGGAGGGAGTGGAGCCGGGCAGCCAGCGCTGGTTCTTCTCGGGCAGGCCGCTGGCAGATAAAATGAAACTGGAGGAGCTGAAAATCCCAAAGGACTACGTAGTGCAAGTCATCGTGAGCCAGCCCTTAGCAAATCCCACCCCGGTGGAAAACTGATTTCTGCTTGTTTATTGATTCTTCTTTCCTCCGTCTCTGTCATGGGGTTTGTTTTCACTGCCCTCTCTTCTTTTGGTTTGTCCTGCTAATGGATTGGTTCCAAGAAATGACCAGCAAAAATTCCATCTGTGATGGAGATCTGCAAAAACAAAACATAAAAATGTAAACTGGCCTTTGGGGTTTGCCTGATCTCATATTTAACACAACAGCAAGCAGCACAGGGCAAGGGCAAAGGAAGGAGTGGGAAGAGGAGGGGAAAAGGCAGGAGGTACAAGAAGGAGGGAAGAGATTGTAGTTCACTTAATACAAAAATGTGATGATTCTTAAAACTGTAGGTGGTGTCATGATCCATGGAGCCAGAGCAACAGAGAGCACTTTTATTTAAAAAAAAATAAAAATCAATTTATAAAATTTTCTATCAGCACCACATACAGTTCATGCAAGAATCACAGCTGCTCTGGGTAGGTCCCATGCTGCGTGTTCACGGGGATCCTTTCTGGTTTGACCTAACTTGCGTGCTTTGTCCAGGCACAGCCGAGGCACAGCCGGCCCCAGGCAGCAGAGCTGGGCTGCGGGCTCGGTCCCGTCCCATGCGGGCAGCTTCTGGCGATGCTCAGACCAAGCAATTGTACATTCCAAGATGGCAACACAGTCCTGTGCCATTTCTGGCTCCCAAGCTGGGAATGCAGCCTGTCGGAGCCTTAGGCAATAACTTAGTCAATGTATACTCTCACGTACTGTACTGTAAACCTACTTGCTACAAGATTGACTTAGCCTGAAATTTACTGGCTCATCGGCACCTGAGTATGTGCCTGCCGAATCACTGTATATCACTCGGATCATTAAAACAAGTTTTTATCAGGCTAGCTAAGGTGAGTGATGCGCTGGTCCGCGCTTAAGTGTTAGGTGCATCACCTTTGTCAAATGGCACCGGTGTTATAGGTCCAGGTTAAACTGCAGTTACACTCAGATGCAATGGATTGCAACTTTCCCCACTCGGTTCCTAGAGGGCACAAAGCATGGAAGATGGTAAGGAGGACACGACGGCACACGGTTTTCAGCTTTTTGTGTGAGTGTCATTTGAAGCAGCAGCCAGCCTTCTAGCTCTGGTGACTCTCCAGACAGGACAACTGGGAGGTATCCTCACTGACACGCACCCACGGCCCAGAGCGTGACGGTGTTTCACAGCCAGTGCTTTCCCTTCAGAATGTAAGAGGAGCCCTTTTGGCAAACGACAAATCCTTTTGTAGTCTCAAAAATCTGAATCAGCATATTTTTTTGGGGGGGGAAATCTAATTGCTTGTTCCCTCAGCGATGCTCTCTGTGTTCCTTTGGCTGCTCTGCACCCCTTTGGTTGAGATCAAATGCCCTGTTCCTTTTAAACATGGTTTCTAGCTTGCTTGTTTTTTCAGCCACCATTGAAATGACTTCACTTCTTCCGAAGTCGAATGTGTTATTCAGGTATGAACAGCATATTTTTACTGGTTTCTGTCTTCCCTCTCTGAATCAATGGTTTAAAGCTACAGTTGTCCCAGCTCTTTCTCCTCTGCTAGTGAAACTGGTGGGTTAATTGACAATTTTAAACTTGTTACTTTTGCTCCTTCATTAATTCCACAGAACTCAGTTTCTCGGACTCGAAGGGAGTTCTTGCTCCGCGAGCATCAGCATAGAGCCAGAATGAGCAGAGGTCACTTGTACAACATCACGAGTCTTTCCCAGCAGGTGGAAGCAGGCGCAGAATTTACATTGATGGTTGGAAAACAGATCCACGTTTTATATGCATTTCCCACCCTACCCCAAATAAATACAGCTTTCTTTTTGGTCCCTGTGTTGTATTAAGCCTATGGTTTTTTGACAGCTCCTTTAGCCCCGATTTGGTACAGGATGCCTGAAGTGCAGTGGCAGAGCTGTGTAAAGGAAAATTAGTTCCCTGTTCTCATAAACGCCAAAGTGACTTGGTTTTCTTTTTTCTTTTTTTTTTTTTCTTTTTAAAGATGAAATCAAAGTTGATAAATACTAACCTATAACAAAAATTTTCTATTGTGGAGTTTTTTTAAGACAAATATGATTTGCTATGCTGGATTTTTGCAGCAAGATCTTTTGCATTCCAGACGGGGGAAAAAAATATTTGATATATAAACAACTCAAAAATCTCTTGGATTTTCACTGGGCAAAGGATGGTTTCATGCCAGGAAGACACTACTTGTCTTGTAAGGTATAGCTTACATCTCTGTATAAATGGTGTTTACAATGTCATTTCCCTGCAGTCCCTTCTGGAAGGGGAGAAATCATGATAGATTAAGGAGGAACAGACCAGGGTGACAATTCTGTAACTGTGAACACTAAAACACTACATTTTTTTTTTTTTATGGATACACGTTGTTGTTTTTTTTTTCTTTTTCTATTTTCATTCAGGCAATTGTCACCATGTACTGGTGTTGAGATTACAGCATGTGGGGGCTGGGAGAGCTCCTTCTTTCCCTTTCCCCCCTCTTAGTTGGAAAAGGTTCAGTTTTATTATGCCGTAATAGATGACCATGTTTTATATTAATTGCTTTTATGTCAGGGAGCAAGGTGATGATCTGAAAGCCATGTTGTGAGTGGGCTTTGAGTAGAACAGAGAATTGGTTCATGAAAATACTCTTCTCTAACAGCCTCCCCTCCTCTCCTGTCCCTTAAGCACATATCTAAAACTGAAAAAAATCAATGGTAAAATGCTTTTATCAGTGAAAGTGAAGACTCTTCAACTTCTTCTGTACAAAATAACGGATGTGCTAAGCACATACCCTGCTGGAAACAAATTTTACAAGATTTGTGTTAGGAAAGAATTCTAAGTTTCAAAATATATATATATAAAAAAAATATCAGTAATGAAGGCATACAGGCATACAGCATGTTGACTAACATATCCCATATATATAACTAGAGGTTGCAATATACATTGAGAGAACAGTCATTTATTTGTCTCTGAAATGCCTTGTCTTTGTCCTGCGAGATGGTCTTTGGTGCAAATGCCAGCGCAGGAAACCAGGCTGGGGCTCCCGTGGGACTCGTGCGGGTTCCTGGGGCAGAGCAGGGTTCCCCGCATGCCTGGAGGAGGCGGGGAGGGAGGGAGGGAAGGCTTGTTTAATTGCAGAGCAGAGTATGCATGGCTGAAGTGAGACTAACAAGGTACTAAACCGCTGTCTAGCTGGCAGCCCCGGTGAGAAGGCAGGGACCGGTGCAGGTCTGCGTGGCCAAGACCAGTGGCTGTTCACGGGGAGGATGGATAGAAGCAGCACGCTGGTGTGCGCATCTTCATTTTACAGCGTGGATGTACGTTGAGCTGCACGCTGCTGGCAACACGGCCTGGGCTGGGTTTTGGCATGCTGGTTGGTGTGCTGCCCAGCGCTGTGCGGTGTCTTGGTTAGAATCAAAGTAATGCAATGGTTTTTGTAATGCATGCAGCCATGAACTGCAATGCCAAGTGCAGCCAAGTGAGGAGTATTTGTTAGACCCATCAGGCCTTTGTGTCATTCCTGATTAGCTCTGGCTGTGAACTGATGCCAGTAGGTTACATTTTTTACCATGTTAGTGACAGGTCTGTTTGATATGATTCAAATTTTTATACTCTTCATTGTTACTTCTGCCTGACCCAGAAGTAATAACCTAGTGAAAGTCCACACTCCTGAACACACGTAGTCTGCTGGGGCGAGGGAGCTCCAGAAAAGCCGTGGATGCTGTAGGTACGTTGCTCGGTGCACTACAGAAGGATGCTCAGGGTCGTCTTCCACAACCAAGTGACAGCTGCTCCTTCTGAGCACCCAGCTCCCAGAAGGTTCATTGACGACCTTGGCTCTTTGTGCATCACAGTTTATTGGCGTCCTCTGCAGAAAACACAGCTTGGAATAGCTGCACCGCGAGAACTTCGTTTAGTTTTCTGAAAGCCTTTACTTCTCTGAATCTGGGACATATTTTGGAAAACTAAATTATGCGAGTCAGCAGTGTAGTAAGTTGGGTTTTTTAATAGACCCCCAATGCTAAAAGTCCTCGTAACAACAACCAAAAAAAACTCACCCCAGGAGCAACCAAACAAAACCCCAGCTCCTCTTTGCCTTTCACAGAAAGTTCCTAAGTTGCTTTGGGGAGGGGAGGAAAGAGGGGTTCATTGAAGCGACGAGGCAACACATGGCAATGTGCATAACCTTCGGTAGAGCAGATGGCCGATTGATAAAATATTGCTGTAGTATGACATGCTTCTGCATATATATCCATTGTTAGTAAGTAATGTAAAAACTTTTGAAAAACTATTAAAAAAAAAATCTTAGTTTGTTACAATGGTGGGATGCTTTTAGCCATGGAGTTTTGAAAGCATTTTAGCTGTGTAAGTGTTGACAAATTGAATGCTGTACGTTTCTCCATTTCTATCTTCTTCAGAAACGTAAGTGGTAGCTACATTTCTGACTCTTGATCTATATTTTACAAACTCTTTTCTATGTCACTGTAAATACATCCAAGACCCTGCACCTTATGCAGAGAATGTTTACATTTAAAAAAAAAAAAAGATTTTTGTTGGCTTTTTCACTGCGCTGCTCAGATCCTGTTATGTTGAAATGAAAGTAGTCTCTGTTAGAAAAATGGGCTTTTTTTTTTTCTTTGCCCTGCACCACTCCCCCTGTAATTCTGACTCCCTCCTGGATGATGGCTGGCAGCTCTTGGACAGCTTGCGCTCTCCTGGCGTAGGATGTAGAGGTATTTGAGAAAGGCATTTTTGAAAACTTGCTTTGGGTGGGGGGGATGAGCTTCGTACGCTCTGCAACTTTCTTGGAAAAAGAAAAAAAATCTGCTTCAAACCCACTAGATGTTGGTGGTCTGCCTTGCAAGTTAACTGATCTAGGAAGCCTTGGAGTTAAACTTTCCAGCAACCGTGCTTCTGTCTTCTCCCGAAGAAGATGAATGTCCTGCTATTATATCTGCAGCTACAAACACTTCTGTTGGTGAATGACTGTATATACGAGTCTGCCTGCTTTAAGACTTTCCTTTTCATAAAGTGTTTTTGATTGCTCTGTTCTGCAAATGGCTCTCCTCTTCCGTATTTCATCCGCTTAGATACTCCGTAGCCGCGTGTGTGTTGCTCTTGTTCATTGGAGATGGAGCTATAGCTCTCCTCCAAGGGAGATACGTGCCACTGAGCCTACAAAAGTCAAATAATTGGAAGATGAGATGTTTTAACCAGCAGGCTTCTTACCATGGACTTTGAGACTTCTAATAAACGTGTCCACTGGACTCTCTGTGAAGAAGTATGTTCCTGCCCTCCAAGCAGGACCACTTGTTGGGTATTTATCCGGTAGAACTCTGTATTTGTATATTTTACAGATGAAGACCATTTGATCAGAGCCATGGGGCAAATAGAGAACTTAAAATCCTGACTCCTGCCTTAAAACTTTTAGTTCATCTTGAGCTCCAAAAATTCTGCACCTGCTCGTTCCCAAGTCCCTTTTTTCTTTAGGAAATTTGAATCCAGTCAAAGGCTGGAGACAATTTAAGGAAATTTAAAACGAATTTTAGCTGATGGCTTTATTAAAATAACTAACTGGTCTTGTATTAAAAACCCTGTTTGTGCCTCTCTTAAGTCCAGGGAATGTTTGAAAAGCGGAGGTGGCTTTTGAGCAATGACTGAAATGACTGCGTTAGCTGGCAATTTGTAAGATACTTGCTTTCATATGCTCTGAGCAAGAGACTTCGGTTTGTGTCCTCTCTGCCTCATGGTAATGGCTTTCAAAGATGGCTGGTACCATCAAATTTGTACTTCTTGAATAAATATCTTCATTTTTATGGTAAAACTTTTTGTATGCGGTTTGTTTGTGTGTGCCACGTAACAAACATTCGTATTACGTAGGATACGGTGCTAGTTTTGGTACTGACACAAAATACACAGCTCCAACACGCCGTGAAACAAGGACGAGGGGATTCCAGTGATGTGACCTTTTTCTTCCCCCCCGTAACTTTTATAAAATCTTCTAGAATCAAATACACCAGTTGTGTAAAACACGCTTTTTAACTTTTTTCCCCTCCCTAGCTCCTTCAGTTAATGAAGAATTGTAGGCCAATATAAAGATGCTGTGAACATCAGGTAACTTTTAAAATGCATTATGTATTTTTATGTTGTACCTCTGTTTCTTGGTTGACATATCGCAGTGGTGTGTGCACGTGTTTTTAATCAACTGCCAAGCACAAGTAGGTTGTCTTTAGACTGTTAAATTATGTGATTTTTTTTTTTTTTTTAACCTAGGTAAGATCTTCTACCATTGAGAGCAAACCATCATGAACTTCTATTGGAAATGCTGTACAAAATTTCCTGTATTTAAAACAAAAAAGAAAAACTTTTTCCCCTGCATTTAAAAAATAAAAGTAATCCTAGAAATGCCATGCCTTAAGAAATAAACTCAGTGTTGTTTTTCTTTTTAAATTCTTCAATAGGGCTTTTAATTCTGAGCTGGAGCTCTACAACTTTTTCATTACCTGTCTGATACCCTAGAGACACGTTCTGGTAGTAATTTTGGTGTGTGACAACTTTTTATCTTGCAAATAAGGCGTGCAGTCCGTGGAGAATGCAAGGCCTGGAGATGTGCTCAGACATCCAGCGTGAACCTCCTCTGTTCCCGGCTCCCGCTGTCCCGATGTGCTTCTGGCTCCTTGGCGAACAGTGCAAAATAATGGATCTGTGTAATTGTCCTATAATTACATTAACTGACATGTTGTCTTAATTCAGGTCACCACTTCTTGATTAACTACCTAATGTATCAGAGGAGTAGGAATAACTTTTTGTAGGCCGCTTTGGTCTAATGTTATCACAGCTAAACATTTCAAATTTTTTTTTTAATCTTAGGATAATTTCGTGGTAGAATTTATGATGTGAGTTATAAACAAATAAGCATGTGATTTTCCTGGAACTTTTTTAACTTTTTCCTATATATATATTTATTTTATATGTGTGAGTATATATAATCTCTTATGTATACATACTCCCTTTTGTGTGTGTGTGTGTATGTATCTTTATGTAAAGTAACAGGTGCAAAGGCTTGTTTGTAGCCATTTGTTCTGACCCATGAGACAACCCTGCTTCCACCTCGCCCAGCACGGGCAGAGCAGTTCTCAGAGCTGATGTCCTCAAACACCAGGATTATAAAACTACCTGTGATCTTTCTTTACCCATCTTCTAGTTGACCTAAGTGTGGTCGTTTGTCAAGCAGTAAGCGGGATCTCCCTCTCGTGTTGTCGCTGTGTGCATACCCACACCACACCGCACCAAGCTGTCTGTGGTCTGCAGCTGTAGCACATTTTGGTGTGTGAAACGGGCTGGGGAACTCCGGGCTGACTGTTGACCTAAGCAAAACCCCAAAAGAACATGGATTCTAGGTCAAAAGTGCACGAGAGTTGACATTTTCTCAATCACTGCTGCAAGCAGTGAAATCGAGTGCTGCTTCACACCCCGCAGCATACGAGCCGTAGGGGGGAGAGGGAGGTGCTGGGCTCTTCTGCCTGGTATCCAGTGATAGGACATGTGGGAACGGTTCAAAGCTGCGCCAGGGGAGGTTTAGACTGGACATTGGGAAGCATTTCTTTACCGAGAGGGTGGTCAAGCACTGGAACAGGCTTCCTAGAGAGGTGGTTGATGCCCCAAGCCTGTCGGTGTTTAAGAGGCATTTGGACAATGCCCTCACTAACATGCTTTAACTTTCGGTCAGCCCTGAATTGGTCAGGCCGTTGCACTGGATGATCGTTGTAGGTCCCTTCCAACTGAAATAGTCTAGTCTAGTCTAGAGCTTAGGGGAGAAGACTGTGTATGATTTATAGAGCTATGTTATATAGATTATGGTGTTTCTATTCCTAATTAATACATAATTAATGTTTGTATTGTGCCTATATTCATATTTCTTTGACCTATATCTCACTACGTGGCATTGCATAACGTGCTACGACTAGCATGGGGTTTCTGCCCTGCGGTGGATGTCGCACCCTCGCTCCTGGCCCCGTGCCAGACTCTGATTGCTTTCTACCTGCTAAAGCTGCATCCCAGTTTGGTCAATGCACCCGTCCCACTCAGTCTGTGCTCCTGCAGACCAGTGCTCTGTTAATACCTGGTGCTGGGCTCCAGAGAGAGCACTGAGGGAAACGATCTTTAACTGCAGACCTGATTTTGCTGCTGCTTATGCCGGGATAACAGCCCTGGTCAGTGCAGAAACTCCAGAGTCACTCTGGATGCTGTAGGGAGCATCTGGCTGAAAGCTCAGGGTGGCTGGTCCCTCCAAATCTGGGCTAAAAATATCAAGGTAACTTATGGAAAAGGCACTGAGCTCTGCAAAGAGTGGTTCGTTGTGTTCTCTCTTTCTCTGAATAATCCCGGAAAGTTGGGATTTCAGCTGCGTGGTTTATTTTCTCTGGACTCAGAGCAGTTGCAAAGGTCTGAGAGCTAGGATGCCGCCTCACAGGCGTGCCGAAACCTCACTTCATGGGAGGTCAGTGGCGGCACTTGGAGACTGGAATTATCTATTCTAATTAGTCCCTTATGCTGCAGCTATGCTGCTTCGTTAGGGAAGCTCTCTAATGGCAGTGAGTTTGGAGGAGGCTCAATGATGTGGTGCCCTGTGTGTAAGGTAAGAGGGGGAAATAAATTCACTGGATTGCTGTGCCCAAAGGGTAAACAGTCAATTTTTTTTAGCAAAAAAAAAAAACAACTAAACTGCCTCTCTTGCTTTCTCTCCACATGGACTTAATTAGGTGGTTTCGTTAACAAAGCAAACAGCGTTTCCTGTCGTTGGGCTGTTCCTCACGAGCGCAGCAGCACGGATGCAGGGAGCTGCCTGAGCCCGGAGCACGCAGGATACAGAGTGGGAAGCTGCCAGCATGGGTGGCTCCAGCATCAGAGACCAGTCTGCCCCATTGCAACCAGCCTTGCTTTGTGTGCGTCTGAACGTGGCAAGATGGCAGCGCTGGGGAGGAGGGTGCTCTCTAAACCAGTGTGTAACGTAGGGGGCAGGAAGAGGTTGTCTCTAAAATACCAAGAAGACACACCTATTGTAGTGCATGGGGGAAGATCACACTAACATCAGGCTTAGTCCTGGGGAGAGTTGTGAGACATGAAGCTGAAGTCCGAGTTGCATCAGTCCCTCCTCCTCAGACACCAGTCCCTGGTGCTCACCTTGGCAGAGCAGTGGCGATGTGCAATGGAGAAAACAGAACAGGCAATTGCTTTACTGCAGCGCTTTGATTTATTCACTTTCTGCAAGTTTGGTACATCTATCTGGCCTGAGCCCAGGGGGATGGAGAAGCGAGGCTGCGTTATTCCCAGCTGGGTAAAGCGTTCTTGTTCAGGCTGTTAGGAGCTCGCTGATCCTGCTGGGAGGTTATTCATGATCCCCTTCCTCTTTTTGTTGTTGTTTGTCAATACAGAAGACTGCAAACATCTTGAATTCCCTGTAGTTCCGTTGCTAGTTTTGGAGAGGAGATAGAGCCCTAGCTTAGCAAGGCAGCCTTGCCCAATGTAAACAGTTATTTCAGAGAAAGACCCCGAGTCCAGGTTCTCCAACTTGCTCTAGTTTCCCAGCTGACTCAGGAGAAATTGGTTTCAACTGATTGCCTCTGGCTCATCCCAAACATGTTACAGGCTAATAGGGCACCTCCCTGGCACACGGCTGTTTCTCCACCATTTGTAATGACTTGCAGATGTTGGAGTGATTCATAACAGCTGGGGTTATGGCGTGGCCGGGTGGAATGGGGGCGTGGGGTGCCTTCACGGCTGTATCAAAGCCACGCTGCTTCTGCTTGAAATGGCCTTTTAATCAGGCAGCCTAGAGATGAAACGACAGGATCAATGCAACTTGGGGCTGAAACAGCTTATTGCAGGAAACTGCTCCAAAGGCATTAGCGAGCTATCTGCAGGCCCCGAGCAGGACTGAGGCTTTGATACCTTGCTGCACTGCTAAACCACACAGGAAACAGGCTGCAAGCCCTGCAAGGCTCACAGGAGAGATGCAAAAATTGCCTGTAACAACTAATTGAAGAGGATACTGGTGGTGGAACATAGAGGAGGAGAATTATCAATAAAAACAATAACCCAGGAACCTAGCAGCAGAAAGGAGGAGAAAGAGAAGGGATCTCCCTTGGTTACTAATGGCTGTCTTGCTAAATGTGCTCCTGGAGCATGCTGAGATGCTGAAGTCATGAGGATGGTGTGAAGCTGTGACAGAGATAAGAGATGTCTACAGTCTATTAATGACTGATTCCCTACCAGTGTAGCTGCAGGTGGTCATTAATCAGAGAATACTTCAGAGCAGGGAGGGATTTGAAAGAGCATAGGTCACCATTCAGAGACAAAGGTGAGCTGGTGGCAAAAGCAAATTAGCAACGGATGTGTGCATGCATCTCCATAAGGAGGACTGTGTTAATGCAGAGCTGGAGGGGAGGTGCTGTTACCAGCTTTGTTCCCTTTCTGGTTGCAGGGAGCTGCTCCCCGCCATGGGACAGGGATGGGCGAGATCCCTGCGGCCTCTCCGTGGAACCTGGAGCTGGTCTAAGGTCAAGATGAGGGATCCAGCAGAGAAGAGAGAGATCTTCCCCTGGGGCTCATCTGGCGGGGGTATCGCCATGGCATGGGCCAAGGTACGGCACTTGTAATGTTTCTAGAAGGAGTTTCAAGTCCGAGTGTACCCCACTGAGGTAGCCCCCTGGCCAGCAGCTCTGCGAATGGACTGCACAGAGCTTGGAAAATAATGAGAAGCCACAAGCAAACTCGGAAGAAAATGGCTTAAATAAAGGCACTTCTGCCAGTTCTGCCCATTTCCTCCCATTAGAGTCTCCTCAGACACAGGAATATGCCTGGTTTACCCCCAAAAAAATTATTTTGTCCTGTTGCTATCTTACTGTTACAACATTTTCAATTCAGACTGTGTGGTAAGTCCTCAAAGGCCCACTCCTGAAGTCAACAGGAAGAAAACCCAGGCTTGAGTGAGAAGCGGCTGTGGGCTGCAGTGCAAAATTAATCCCAAGGATTAATTTTGAATTTAGGTCATGAAAATGCCTCTATCTTTTGACTGTAATTTCTCTAATTTTACCTCATCTCCAGAAATATCAAAGTCCTTAAAAATCTTCTTAAGTTATTCTTTCTTGATGTTGAAGAGAAACCTCGTGGCTTCAAACTCATTAAAATCAATCATATTATCCCCCTCTACATCCAGCAGTTGAAGGGCAGGTCCTGTGTGCTGGTGGATGAACTGCTTTTCAAGATGGTTCTGTTTTGGGGCAGAAAGGTTTAGAAACAGATGATAAGCACCGATTTCCTGCTTGGAAAGAATACATGGAATACCAACGGGTGTTCGCGTCCAGAGAATAAAGGTGACCTCCCGCTAGTTGCGCCCGCAGGAAATACCAAAATCCTGGTGCTTCCTGCCATGGAGCCACGCGGGAGCAGGCGGCTGTTGCCGGCTGGGTTTGGGCTGCGGGTGTGCTGGGGAGAGCTACCGACAGCCAGCCAAGCTCCAAGGCTGCTTTGTGAGGTCCTTTCCTATCCCTCCCGTGTGCAGAATGACTTGCAGGGCTATGTCCCGCAGTTGGCTCCTCTCCTTCCTCCCCGAGTCCTGCAGGCAGCAGCCCCAAGCGCTGGCCCTCAGCTGGGTGCCTGGTCCAGAGCGGAGCTGCAGGACGTGTCCAACAGCAAGATGAGCTCTGGGGGTAACCCTGGCTTTACCACCCCTCTCCCTCACTGCAGCCTGCTGTCATGGCTGCTTTTCCCTGAAAAGGCACTTCCCCAGCCTGGGCTGTAGGTGATGCCAGGGAGGCTGAAGAAGGGCATCAGCACGTGCTGCACCTACAAGCTAGCAAGAACTGATGGGTGAAAACAGATGCTTTGCTCTCTTCCCCACAGGCAGACACAGCCGAGGGCTTGTTTTTTGGAGCGCTAAGATGGACAACCTGAGCTGGGAGGAGTGTTTAGATGGTTTCTACCTTGCAAAAGGTTCAGGGGTGGATTTATGCCAGAGGAACAAGGTTGGTATTAACAGGGGGACTGCTCATTTCCCTGCTCTCCTTTTCTGTGCAGCAGCATAGACCCAGGGACCCTCTCCATCCCTTGTAAATCCTTTACTCATCCATGAGTAAAGATCAGCTCCAGTGAGCTGATCCCTTTACAGGGGTGTTGGATGGTGCAGATGTCCCTGTACCAACTCCAGGACCTGCAGGGTACACACACACACCTCATGGGACGGGAGGATGCATGCCACCATGTAGAACTCATTAAAGCAAATTCTTCCTCTCGCATGTCGGTCCAGCAAGTCGAACAGCAGCATGATCTGCTCCTTATTCAGGTCGGTCACATAACGGAGAAAGCAATAAAACCGCAGATGTGGAAAACAGTGAGCTCTCAGGCATCATCTGCACAAAGCCGAGAGCAATAATTAGCAGGATTTATTTTATTTTAAATGCCCACTGCTCCCAGACACGTTGCACAGGCAATTAAAACACAGGGGCAGACAAGAGATACTGTTCAGAATTAACAGAACAGTATTAATAAGATGGCCTGATTTATGAAAGGGACATATGTGATTTCTGCACAGAAGGCAACTTTGAAGTGCTCATAATTTTCTGTCGTCTTCTTTTGTACCCTACCCCTGGAGGAAAAAAGGACTTTTCCAACAAACCAGAAATATGGGAATAGACTGAAGAACTGCAGGCGGGAGGTGGGGAAGCTGTGAACCAGCAGGCGGCGGGGTTGCAAACAGCCTCATGTGGAGGACACTATTGGCAAGAAACCCACCTGCTTTCTAACACAGAGCACGATCGGTTCATGGAAAGGATTACATGATGAGGTTGCTGCAGTACTAAGGAATTAGCTTCAGTGAGCCAGAAATCCCCTCTTGCCCTGTGTTCTGGCATCTCGCTTGCACAGCTGTAAAGATCTCTTTTATGGCTGGCCTGGGTTTTTCCTATGTCGATTATCTGCTCATTGTGCCAGGACCTGGTTATCATGTTTGTACAGTACTAACAAGCCTGTGGCTTTGCATGCTGCTGGGATGCAGAGGACGATAAAACCGTAAAATCAAACAGGTTTCATAGGCTCTTGGACCTTTTTCTGTCTCACAAACAGGGAAGGAGGCAATGGAAAGGGGAAGGGGAAAGGAATACCTTCGATGTGAGCTGAAAATGTACCTCAGTGGCTCTGCATGGTCCCCTGAGCCGTACATATTTCAGAAGCCGATGCAGGAGTAGCCAGGCCATGTAACCTTCCAGAGCAGCCGGGGCATGACAGAGCAGGGAGGACATGGTGATATATGCTGTATCTGAAAGCTTTCTGGGGTATTGCCAAGCACTTGTGTTAACCAAGCTGCTAGTTAATTAGTATTACGGAGTGCTGTGTTTGTTGTAACATCTGAAGTGCAATATTTGTAATGTCTGTGATCTCTGGTTTTAAATCCTAAGCAATGCAGCGTTCTGTGTCTCTCTTTTCAAAACATTACAAAGGGCCTGTAATTTTAGAGCATTAATGCCAATCCCATTTTTAGAAGTACTTACTGTTCAGGTAATTCTTTCGATGAACATCCAGGAGCTGGAAATACTCTGCCAGTGCCGCAGTATTTCTTACTGACAACAAGCAGTATACTTCATCTAAATGCAGATGCTGCAGAAAACACCCAGATTTCAGCTTCACCTCGGTTGGCCGTGGAAGATCAGCAAAACAGAATTAGCGCCATGGCAAAGACCCCTCACAGAAGGAAAATTCTGCCCTAGAACCAGACGCAACCTCCATCCCACAACTTCAATGCTTTTTGCACATTTTCAGGAATTCCACTCAGATGGGGAGGCAAAGGCTCCCCTTCCATTCAGCCTTAAAGGATAATAGGTACTAAAATCAAGTGACAGAAATTATTTTTACAGTGCTCAAGAGCATTAAATCTGATTAAAATGTGCAAGATAGTACGGACTTAAGGATTTACTTTAGACTGTAATGCAAATGTCAACCTCAGACAAGTGGTACCCCGAAGTGTGTTGGTCCGTGCTGAGGAGGTCCAACGTAGCAGCCACTGCAGGGCTTTACTGTTCCTCTTAGCCAGGGCTTTGATGCTTCTCGTTTCCAGTACCTGACAGTGTCCTGTGCAATGTGTCTGGGAGCTCTAGCTCAGAGATGGCTGCTTTTGAATGCTCAATTTCTTGTTCAAGTTA